CATAGCCCATATCCTTTTCATCGAATCAATCGATGTCGGGAAGTGATTACATTGCGCTCACTAACAAACATACAGAACGGAAAAAGAATATGCTTGGGTTTTATCCAAGTACTCTCTTTTCCTACACTTGGAAATATCCAAGAAAAAATCAAATCTTACCGTTTTTCCAATATCTAGTAAATGTCAGTGATGGTATTTATCGTTCTTTCACTGAATAGCACGTATATTTATCTACAGCATCGTCTATGTATATAAATGGTGTGAAAATGATCATAAGTCTCATACTCTACGTACATAATTATCATCGCACAATTTAAGTAAGTTGCATCATAACAAATATTTATTTTCTTCTATATATAAATAGATCTACCGATATTAATGCAATAAAAATAAAAAGAAAGTAACATTCGTCGAGATTTTATTCAATACATCAATAATCAAAGTTAATAATTTGATACATGTATCTTGTTATCTATATTAAAATTCGAGTTGAGATATATTCATACACTCGAAATTATTAAAGTCTAAATGAATAATGAACTTTTTTTTATTTCTCTGAGTAATTTGCAAGGCAAAAAATTCCGATTTATTCACTCGGCGTAGTATAATCGCGTCGTTTGGACTTGCACTTCCGCAAGTAATATTTTGTAGGTTACTTGTCTGTACGATCGCATGTGTGTTGAGTTCTTGTATACGACTCAGACATTTTCTGAATTAGATTGTAATGCATAGATTTGCATTTGTATTGTTTAAAAACACGACCTTTATGATGATTGTTTTTTTTCCTATGTCGATTGAAGTTGTTGATCGTTGCATGACTTTATTTATAGTCGAATTTTAACTTTTTATACAAGATGAGTTATTATTAAAATTAAATCAGAGTATTCAATTTTTGGTAGAATAATCTTTGTGAATATTCTATTTAGGAAAAAAACATTCTTTTTTTTAGTAATTAACGAATGAAAATTGGTTACTAAATGAAAAATAAAAATGCGAAATTCACGATTTTGATGGAGATCAAAAAGATTCGAAATCAATTTAAGCTAAGTCGCATTTTTAGTTAGATGAAAATACGAGCAATTTTACATTTATTTGAGGAAGCCATTAGAGTAGTCAGCTTTTAAGTTTTAGTTACAAGTGGATATGTACACGCTGTACTACAGTTCAGTTAAGGATGTAAGATTTTTGGTAGAATGGGGCAATCATAATCATGAAATTTTTGTTAAAGACAAGTTATAGATTGCATGAAGTAATTTTTGGATGTTTACTAGTCTAGAGATACTGGAAAAGTGTTTGGATATACGGAGCGATTACTTCCTCTGTTTTCTCGAAAAATTAGGCATTCAACAATATTAATTCTTGAGTCAGAATTGCTTGAAGTTGGAATGGACTTGAATCATGATTAGTGTATGTCTACTATAAATCTGCTACTGCTTTAGTTAGCCGTGCAAATTTCTATCTCCAAAATTGTAAGCTATATCCTCATACGTGTAGATAAATTTTGGCGACAAGGTGAATTTTGATATCGAGAGATAATTTTAAATAAGTATATCTGAATTATTGTAGACCAAACAATCATGTATGATAACGACGACAATGATCAACCTTCTAGTTGCTCCAATGGAACATTTAATGCTGTCGTTGTTGATAATCGTGAGTAGATTTACTAATTATCTATTGCAAACTAAGTATCATATATTTGATTAGAAGCCATCCAAATGATCTTGGCTGCAGACAAGAAAGTGAGCAAATTTAGAAGATAAGATGTACTTCATTTTCATATTCTATTCAAAGGATGATTGACTATCGAATACGTAAAACAACGACCGTAATGAAAGTGAAGGAGATGCTGCTTATCAAACTTGAATAATAGTAACAACAACATTGCAATAGACTTAAATGAGTTGTTACACAAACTAGTCACTTGAGGCAATAATAAAAGCGAGAAAATGTTGTCGCAGAGAATGTAAATTTTTGCTTGTTAAAAATAAAAATATTTCAATCATATTCTGTCCGATTGCAAAGACAGGGAAATTTCAAATCTAGCTGACCCTTTTAAGTCAATATGACAAGTTCTTAACGAAAACTGTTTTGAAACCAGCTAACGTAAACAGATATCCTATCTTAATTAGTACAGCAATTGTATTTGATCTAAAGCGGCATTATAAATGATGCCAAGAACAAGATGCATCGCATAATAAAAGGCAAAAGACACATGATGAGTTTACGGTTTATTCAGATTCCTTGTTCGTGAAATCTTCAATTTTTTACCAAGTTCAGTCTCTTGTCGCATCAAATTCAAAAAGATGTGAAAAGTTGTATTTCACATTTACTTTTGCATTTATTTGAATACAGATTACTTGCTTCCTGTTCGTGAGACTTTATAATTCAAACCATTGAGTATATTTACGTGTGGGTGTGGAGTGTGAGTATTATGATAGAGAGGACCCACACCCACCCTTTTTGTGCTACAATTTATTATTTCAAGATTCGTAGCTAGGCTTTATTAAGAAATATGTGATTTTTAATTTTGTTTACAGGGCTTTTTTTTTGTGGTGAAAATGATTCATTTTTCAATGACGAGTAAGTGACTAATAGTAAGGAATAAGTTTAGTTTTTTTTACCTGTGTCAGATTTTTTATATTCTTGTAAAACATATTGGTCAAGATGTTGCTTTTATCAAAGATACTTTCCGTAAATATTTTACTGAAATTTTTGTTTTTCCCTATTTCAGATGTTTTTTTTCGTGTTGAGATTCATCATATCGAGGTTCAATAAGTAGCGTTAATTAATGAATAAGTATGTTTAATTTTTTTTTTACATGTTTTAAATGTTTTTATTTTTGATGAAACAGAATCATAGTTTTGTAGAATTATTAACTAGGCAATATAAATTAATCTATTTTTTCAGACTTGTTTTCACTTATTTTAGATGGTTCTTCTTTAAGGTTACTTATCAACCAATGCAAGATTGATTAGGTATGTAGAATCAATGAATTAAAACTGTTTAATTTTGTTTTACTTTCCAATGTTTTCTATTTTGTGAAAATACATTTATGGAGCTGAGATTTATATGTAAGGTACTTTTGATGAATATTTGATTTTGATGTGTTTTTAGTTATTTCAGTTTTTTTTTGATAAAAAGTATTCATCATTTCAAGTATTATTAGGTAGGTACTTTAAAAAAAATATTTGTGAACGGGTGTGGATGTGGGTGTGGGTGTTAATCATTTCCTCAGCTACACTCCACACCCACACCCACACAGACACCTGTACGCACACCCACACCATTGTCGCGGAACAGGCAGCTACAAACGCTCACTTCTACTCATGAATTCTAGCTTTCTCACTGAAACATATCCAATAAAAACAATACATAAAGCCCACGCATGCGTCTTAATGTCGTTCCATCAATGCTACACTTCCAGGCTTCTCACCCATATAGTATATAGCGTACAATCGATAAGTAAAATCAATCCATGCCCTTATATGTCCAAACAAGGATTCGTAAATTACAGCTTTTTCAAGAACATATAGAATCTTGTAGCAATAGTTAAGCCCCAAAAATGCAGTAACATCCCATTAAATGCCGTTACATGAATTTTCCAGTTCTAGGTTTTTGAGGAGTATACCGTTTCTTATAGCAATTCATAAGCTTCATACATGTTCTTAGATCCCGTTACATGAATTCTTGAATTCTAGGTTTTTCAGGGGTATAGAGATTGTTACAGCGATACATAAGGCCGATATATGTCGTTACATGGCGTTACATTCCGTTACATACTGATATATACTTATCAGTGGGGACATGTTAGATACTATATGAAACGGTCGATACAATTTGTATCTGTATTTGCGCAGCCCTCTAATAATCACGATATTTAACTGCACACTCACCCTCAATAAATCTCAAACCATCTGAAGAGACCCTTGAGAAAGGTCGAAACATGTCATGGTTTCTCTATAAACACACTCACACCTTCACCCTCCCTTAAGCAAGGACAAAACGTCGTGTTAAGCTTTGAATCTATTATTGATAAACACACCCTAATAAACTTTGCTACGATCTCGAACAGATTAAATCGTTATATTAAGCGTACTCCTTTCGAACTTTAATGATAATTAATTCTTTTTGACTGTTTTTGTTTCGAAAACTCCTTTACTGAGATAATTTATTGTTATTTTTGAATTCTAAAGAGTTGTTTTATGATTTTATTTGTTTTTATATTGAGAATTTTAATATTATCGTATAATAATTTAGTTCTAGATACTTAAGATACCTGATGAGTCCCTTAAGCAGGAACGAAACGTCATGTTAAGCTTTCAATCTGTTATTGATAAACACACCCTCTCACCGTCAACAATAGCAATTAATATTTTATTATGATTTTTTCCAATAAAAAAAAACCATGTCGACCTTCACTGGGGCACATACAAAGCTGAGATAGAACCTTCTTTTCATGCTACCTTTCAATCTTGACTTACTGCTGATTGAGAAAAAATACCAATGTGAGGCAAGACATGACACTGTTTTATTTTGTCACGTTGTTTCTTTTGCATTTGAGTATCATTTTGAATTTATACGCATATCCGAAACGAAAAATCATTATTTCGTACTGATGTTTCACGGACGATGGTATTTAGTGCCCTCGTGTTAAGAAAAATTCAGAAGCGACTAGATTATGTGAATTTATCATGAATTGATGCCATCTGACATCGACTGCGATACTTAATCTAAATCCTATATCAATCACTTGTATTCACACATTTTCATTAACTGTGTTTCTTTTTTCTATTGACAATATGTCTTTGAATTTTTTACGGATCGATTTCTGGGTGACTTTATGCGTATGTTGCATGACACTAGCAAAGAGATTACCAAGTAATTTTTTCTCGATTCGATTCCATTATGTTTAAATATGTTTTTCTATATTTTGCCCTTTTTTTAAAGACATGAACTTTGAGAAACTGGGCGATCTATGTCATATAGATCCTAATAATATGAGTCCATACGATATTATAGCAGGAGATTTTAATGATGATACTCGCTTGGACTTGATTGCCGTCAACAATTGGTACAACACTATCCATGTATTTATAGGAGTTGGTGATGGGGACTTCATTAGTGCAGCAAATTATACCACTGGTCAAGCGCCGATGTCTATTATAGCAGGGGATTTCAACGATGATGATGAGCTTGATGTAGCTATAGCTAACAGCGCGGAAGAAAGTACCAGTTTGTTGCTTGGTAATGGAGATGGTACGTTTCAAAATCAGACGATATACCGTAGCGGCCTCAAACCAGTTAATATCATTAAAGGTAACTTTAACAATGATATGATACTGGACGTCGCAGTGGCTAATTATGGTGAAGACACTGTCAGTATTTTATTTGGTAGAGGTGATGGAACGTTTAGGCCGCAAAGACGATTTCCGATCACGGATTCTCTACGCTACATCGCTGCTGGTGATTTCAATAATGACGGATCATTAGACATAGCAGTAACATCTACTGAGTGGACAATAATTTATCTACTTCTCAACTATGGAAATGGAAGTTTTGAAGATCCAATTACACTAGTAGTTGATTCAGGACCATCATCCATTATTACGGCTGATTTCAATAATGACACTAACATTGACATTGCAGCCGTATATTGTAAGGAAAATATGATTGGTGTAATGCTCGGTAATGGAAACGGTTCATTTCAGAAACCATTGTACTTGTCAACTCGAGAGCATCCAGTTTTTATCAGAACAGCCGATTTCAACAATGATCGTAAATTAGATTTAATATTGGCTAATCAAAAGAACCTAACGATTAGTGTGCTACTGGGTAATGGAGATGGTACATTCGATCTTCCGATAACCTATCCTTTTTCATCAACTCCTGGAGCTCTGGCTATCGGAGATTTCAATCATGATAAGCAACTAGATGTGGCAGCTGCGAATGTTGATTCTAATTCAATCTGTATCTTACTCGGAAATGGGGATGGCTCATTTCGCGATAACGGATGTATGGCAGCAGATGATTTTTCTTGATTATCTTTCCAAAGAAGAGCGATTTTTGAACTGAATACATCATAATCATAAAAATATTGCTGAAAAGATCTTTCTGTTTAATTTATTTTTCAATGAAATGCAATAAAAGAGTCTGACGACAACCACGGTTCGACAGTTCAATTCATGAGGGTGTGGGTGGTGTGGGGGTGGGGTGTGGGTGTGGGTCTGGGCCTTGATGTGGATAAAGAGGCATCAAACCTCCCACCCGCACCCCAACACCCACACCCACCCACACCCACAACCACACCCACACCCACATCCACACGCACATCCACACCCTCAAGTATCTCTTCTCGTCTAACTGGTAGGACATCTGCCCGGATAGCAGAAAATACGTGATTCGAGTCCTGTGAAGAGAACAACTATATCTTATTCTATACTTTAAAAATTTCTACTTTGAACAGAAAGGTATAATGTCTTGATTCAATTCCTTGAGAATTTGGATCTATTAGACTTATGTCTAGTGCCACTTGATAAGATTATGTCAGCAATAACGAAATACCTGGTATTGTGGTAGCTATACGCACCCCCTCACCCTCAAGTAATGTTGATGTTGATTCAAAACATATATCAGATAGATGCGAGTGGGCTACAACTCATTATCATTCATTCTACAATCCACATTGTTTATTTGAACTTGAAATTCGTTGGCTTTTTGCAACATTATGCATACTTGGTGATTTAATTACACAATGGTCACAACGTACAGGAACCATACTTGGATCAAAGCAAGTAGCTTTTCATCTCGTACCGATTCCGTGTGACCCATTTGCTGAATGTGATGCACTAAGAGTTAGCAAACAAACGAAACAAAAAGCATTCTGAATTCATTATGATTTTTAGGTCTTATTTATATCAAACTCAATTCATCGTTTCTATGTGACAAACTTGCTCATCTGCCTGAAACAAGTCAAATTCATCGAATAAATATTTTTCGAGAACTCGTCTTAAAACGGTTTGTCCTATTCATGCTTATATTGAATAAAGAAACTATACAGTTTGATCAGTCAAGCAAAAAATCAAAGTCGATTTTTGAAAATCTCACAGCTAGGCCACTTTTAAGAATATTCTACTCATATTCGTTTGTTTTCATGATCAATTAGTAAATGCGTCGGCGAATAGATTGAAACAGATATTCTTCGATCAAAACAAATTCATTTTTATGTGAGTCTTTGCAAATTTCGTTCATCGAAACAGCATTGGAAAATTCGACGACATTTCGTAGTGTCGACGTCAATTTCGATAATTTCTTTATTAATCAAAACATTTTTCTTTTTTCTTTCTTTTCAGTTACGATTTTTTCTTTTGAATGCTTGTGTTAGTTATGAAGATGAAAAAGTATATTATGTTCATATTAGTGGTGGAATGTTGGTTTATATTATATCTGATGTTTACAATGTTCATTACAACAGTCAAACAACACGTATTATACGATATGGATCTACAACCGACAATCAGTTGTCACCTTTAGATTGTGGCTTTTATTGGTGTTGGAATTTTTGTTTAGGAAAAAAATGGCGAAGTTCACAAATCGGTGAAGAAAAATATCAAGATATAATGTTAGCAGATTTTCGGGCATTTTATGATAATGAAAACAATCGTTTAGTTAATTTCTGAAACGAAGTCAATGAAATAGCAAATAAGAAAATGCTCGAAAAGGAACAAGATGCCTGTAATGAAGATTTGGTGAATAGGTCAAAGATCTAGTCTATTTTTGCATATTTTTAAGTTTACTCGGTGTTGTATGACAGTAATTATTGGAGATTTTAACTTTCGTGATAGAAAAAAAAGGAAAGAGTTATATGTAAGTTTAGTTTATAAATATAAATATATATACATATATACATGAATTCTTATCTATACAAAACAAAAAAGCAAAACATCTGCAAAATTGATTTCATAATTGAAAACGATGTACACTATTCATTCAAAGGTGTTTATATTGATCAAATAAAAGCCTTTTCTTCTCGTTCATTTGATTGATATGGCTGATATATGCACTTGTAAACGAACATCTTTATGGTTAAAATTTGAAATTCTCTATGTATTTTCTAAGCATTTACTACGTTCACTAGATTATATTTGGTAATAATCAGTCATCCCTGAAACTATCTATTTATTTTATTAATTTTTTCTAAGTTTGTTCACGAAAAATTATTGTCACACGGTTCATCAATCAAATCAAGATATCGCTATCTAATGATTATTCTTTACAATTTCAATGAGGACAAACATGTACAGCTCACTAAAACTAGAACTATTTTGAGTGATCATATATATCATTCATAATATGTCCATAAATCATGTTATCAACCCGTTGAATAAGTTAAAATAAGTTGTGTACTATCTTAGAATTTATAAATATAAAACTTGCTAATTTTTCGATGATTCGAACAATCGATAGATTTACATCATTAGTCGTACTTCAATAAATCCTTTATACCCGGCAAAATTCATTGATACACTAACTTATGAAGTTTATGTTTCAATGAAAATACACAATATATTAATCTCATCGATGTCAATCGATTAAAGTAGAAAACATCTTATTCCGTGTTGCAGATTGTTGTCTATCTCGTTCTGTTTCAACGTTGTTTATGACTATCAACGTAACTAGTTTATGTGTGTTTGTTGCCAAGTGCTGGGAATTACAGTGAAGGACTCTTTTTGCGTTCTTTCTTGACGATAAATTACACTGACAACTTCTGTAGCGTGGCGTAAAGTAAAAAATACAAATGTTGACGACGTTCTCTTTCGTGACGTAGGTAAGCGTGGTGAGCGTATGGGTGGCACTTTATCTTTACTTTACTGAGTAAAGTAAAGTTGGGTTACTTTACTTTACTCAGTAAAGTTAGCCTACTTTACTTTACTGGATAAAGTAAAATAACCGTACTTTACCCGAAAAGTAAAGTAAAGTAAAGTAAAGTAAAGTGAAGTATCTCTTACTTTACAGAAAAAGTTAGATGAAGTAATATGAGATAAACTAAAGCATGTAGTTGATGATTATTGGTTTATTAGTTCATTATCACACATTAAGCACATTCTAATACGTCAAAAGTTGCGTCGAAATACGGACCGATAGCCGCGAATAATCTGAACCTATTTTTAATATCTTGAGAATCAGCATTGAGCCCTCACTATTTTTCAAAATTTTATTTTTTTTCTGCTTTCTCACAACCCAATTTTCACACTTAGGGTTCCCTTAAGTATCGACAAAAAAATTTCTATCGCTGTCCTATTACAAAACTTTATAATTCAATAGTATGAAGTGAGATGATTACAAATATCTCATTTGTTGTCAAAAGAACTTAGGTAATAACAAAGATAGAAAGGATCTCCTGAAAGCCTTAAAAACTAGCTTTTGACCAGAAACTTCATTAAAATACGATTCTATTTAATCGACAACAGATTCATTTGACACAGAATTCTTTTTTCTACCGGCAACTATGAGAACGTCTTGAATATTCGATTCATTCTATCGATAATTGGCAAATACCGCCCAGATGAGGTCTGATTATCTCTCATGATATTTTGTCAGCGTTACAAAATCAGAGTTTCTACAGGTGCCGTGGTCAGATTTCTTTACCAAGAGTGCAACTAAATGTGCTCTTTCTAGTGACAATGTTTCCCACGTGAAAATTCATATCTAGTAAAGTACTTTTGCTCACAATCCTATTATTGAGACCTTCTTTGCCCCTTTTTGACTAATATTTTATGGTTTTCGAATAGAAAAATCCCATCTGACTCCACAAAAGTGCCATGTCTGAATCTAAGACAGAAAACTGAGTAGGTCTATGTGGACAGAGATGGCCACTGGGTTGGGTTGATATGAGTACCTTTTGGATTAGGGCTTTCATTGGTTAGCCTTAACCCAGGCTCGTGGCTTGATGAGGCCAATTTACAATGGCGAATAAAAGTAGCCCCCCCCCTCCCCCCAAAGTGATATTATATTCCATCATTTCGAACTGATCTTTTGCTGAAATATCGGCCTCATTGAACCCTGACCGCAAACACCACCACGCCCTCACTTGATTGACGTTTGCTGAAGATATCACATGTACATCGTCATCGCCTTATCAAGATCATATCTCGATCATTTTTCGACATTCACTTTCTCGCAACCCGTCATTCAAAAGCTCAGAGATGCAGATATCATTAGTAAAATTTTGGTGTGAAATAGCGGAGATCCGAAGTTCGCACTGAAAACTTCTACCAAGTAGAAAATCCTTTTTTTCAGTTTGGAATCGATAACTTGAGATAGAATTGATCAATGCAACTTAAATTTCAGCAATGACTCATCATCGACCCACAAGTTTGTGGTAAAATATTCAGAGCCGCAGCTCCATGCAGAGCTGAGATAGAGTTATTGAAAGAGTTTACCATGTCACAGCTTGTCTATCGATGGAGCTACGGTATTATGCGGTGAGCTTTGGATCCAAGCAACTAGGTATGCAGGGGGACAACTAGCACCAAAAAAAACTCAAAAATTAATTTTAGAGGGTGAAAATGTGTTATTAAAAGTTTTTAAGCAGGTTTGTCACTTCATTTCTATCCCCTCCCCCCCCCCCCTGGTAGCGTATCTAAGCACGATGTACTTTTCTGTTACGAAGCATTTCACCTCAAAACCATTTTGCTAACTTTAGAGAGTTTCTGCTTTATGGAATCAGCCTTTTGTACACGTCCTCTGAATTATTCCGACAAAAAAAAGAGTATTTTCGGAAACATGAGTGTAACTTCACTAGCATTTGACAGTTCTACTCGCTTAACGGCAGTGCCAACCATTTATCGAAGACATGGAGGAAAAATATCATCTCAGAAACTTTTAATTCGCACTGTTTCGTCATACTAAAATGAATTTTTGCTTGTTTTGGTGCTAGTTGTCGCCTTGCTTATATAGCTGCTTGGATCCAAAGATCACCATACAATACCGTAGCTCCATTTACAGGCAAAGTGTGGTGTGGTGAATTCTTCCAATGACTATATCTCAGCTCTACATAGATCTGCGACTCTGAATATTTTACCACAAATCTGTGGATTGGTGATGAGTCATTGCTACAATATTCCGTTGCATTGATCGATTTTAGCTCAAATTATCGATTCCAAACTGAAAAAAAGGATTTTCTACTTGATAGACGTTTTCAGTGAAAACTTCGGATCTCCGCTATTTCACACCAAAATTTTACTAATGATATCTGCATCTCTGAGGTTTCGAATGACGGGTTGTGCGAAAGTGAATGTCGAAAAATGATCGAGATGTGACCTTCGTAAGGCGATGACGATGTACAAGTGATATCTTCAGCAAACGCCAACCAATTGAGGGCGTGGTGATGTTTGCGATCAGGGTTCAATGAGGCCGGCATTCCCGCAAGGGATCAATTCAAAATGATGGAATATAATAGCACTTTAGGGGGCACCTACTTTTGTCCACAGCTGTATATAATTCCATCTCCGACCTACCTATAAAAAGTTTCAGGTAAATTTTGTGAGTTAACCAAATAGTCAACCTTGGGCTAATGCATTAAATAATGCATATTTCATAAAAATTAGTTATGAAAATGTTTTCTAATGGATGTGTCGTTAGAAAAGGAATTTTTGATCAATTCAAGTTCATTTTGAACTCGATGAAACGAATCGGGTCGTATTTCAGTAAAATTTTGTACAAAACCTAGTTTTTAATGGAGCTAGGGAATACTTCCAATCTTTCTTATTATCTGAGTACTTTTGAAAAAAAATGAGATATTTGTAATCAGTACACTTGGTACTATTGAATTTTAAATATCTGTAATAGAGCAGTGAAAAAAATGTATTTTTGATACCTGAGGGGGACCCCATATGTGAAAAGTTGGGTTGTAATAAAGTAAAAAATAAAATTATGAAAAATATTCAGGGTTCGATGCTGACTCTCAATGGAATAAAATTAGGTTCAAATTTTTCGGCGCCTTCAATCCGTAATTCGACACAACTTTTGATGTATTAAAATATGATTAATGTCTGATAATAAACTAATAAATCAATAACCATCAACTACCTACTTTACTTTATCTCATTTTATTACATCTTACTTGTTCGGTAAAGTCAGAGATACTTCACTTTACTTTACTTTACTTGTCGGATAAAGTAGATCTACTTTACCGAACAACTCAGATATAATATAATAAGATAAAGTAAAGTAGGTAGTTGATGGTTATTGATTTATTAGTTTATTAGTTTATTATCAGACATTAATCACATTCTAATATGTCAATAACCATCAACTACCTACTGTACTTTATCTTATTTTATTATATTTTACTTGTTCGGTAAAGTAAGAGATACTTCACTTTACTTTACTTTACTTTACTTTACTTTACTTTACTTTTTTGGAGAAAGTGTATCTCCTTTACTTTACCAAGTAAAGTAAAGTACACTAACTTTACTTTACTCAGTAAAGTAAAGTA